TTTCAGAGTTAAATTAAATTATACCATAGGTCAAATGGACTTAACAGACGTCTACAAAATATTCCATCCAACAGCTGTGGAATACACATTCTCATCAGTCTACAGAACTTTCACCAAAACAGATCACATTTGAGGCCATAAAACAAGTCTTTAAGAACAAAAAAAAAAAAAGAATTCATCAAATAGTATCAGATCATAATGGAATAAAATTAGACAGCAGCAGCAAGAGAAACTCTACAAACAAAAGTAAACTGAATGATCTATGGGTCCCTGTATAGATCAGACAGGGAATTAAAAAACTCCTAGAATCAACTGAAAATAAAAATAAAACTTACTAGAACCTTTGGGATACAGCAAAGGCGGCTCTAGAAGGAAAGTATATGGTGATAAGTGCCTACATTAAAAAAAAGATCTGGGCTGGTGGAGTGGCTCAAGCAGTAAGAGTGTCTGCCTAGCAAGCAGCAAATGTAAGTCCCTGAGTTCAAACCCCAGTACTGCGAAAAGAGAGAGAGAAAGAAAGAGAGACAGAGAGATAGAGATAAAGAGAGATAGGGAAAGAGAGAGAGAGAGAGAGAGAGAGAGAGAGAGAGAGAGAGAGAGAGAGAGAGAGAGAGAGAGAGAGCTGAAATAAAGGAACTAATAATAATGTACCTCAAGGTCTTTAAAAGAGCCAAACCCAAAATAAGTAATAAAGATCAGGGAAGAAATTAATAGAATGGAGAGTAAAAGAACAAGATGAATGGTTCAATAAAACAAGGAGTTCTTTAAAAATATAAACAATATTGGCAAACCTTAGTGAAACTAACCAAAAGAAAGAGAAGACCCAAATAAATAAAATTAGAGATTACAAATAAGATATTGCAACAGATACCAATGAATCCAACAAATCTGAATAGTTGAGAAGGTAAATTCATGTATGATTTGATACATTGTAAGAACCTGTATAAATGCCACCATGTACCCCCCACACTCATCACAACAATAAAGGAAGAAAAGAAAACTAAAAACCCAGGATCAGGTGAATTCTCTGCTAAATTCCAAATTCTACATAACTTACTCCGATGCTTCTTCAAGCACTATTTCAATAAAACAGAAGGACACTCCAAACTCATTCTCTTGAATGCAGTATTACTGGATACAAAAACAAAAAAAGACTACAGACCAAATTCCTTAATGAACACAGGCATAAAATTCTCCATAAAATACTTATGAATTCAATAGCCCATTAAAAAGACCATACATCATAATCAACAGTTTCCATTCCAAGGATGTAAGGATGGTTCAACATATGCAGGAGAACAAAAACAATCCAATCACAAATACACAAATGAACTGAACATACAGATCATCCCAACAAACTAAAACCCAGGATCAGGTGAATTCTCTGCTAAATTCCAAATTCTACAATAACTTACTCCATGCTTCTCAAACTATTTCATAAAACAGAAGGGACACTCCAAACTCATTCTCTGAATGCAGTATTATCTGGATACAAAAACAAAAAAAGACTACAGACCAAATTCCTTAATGAACACAGGCATAAGAATTCTCCATAAAATACTTATGAATTCAATAGCCCATTAAAAAGACCATACATCATAATCAACATAGTTTCATTCCAAGGATGTAAGGATGGTTCAACATATGCAGGAGAACAAACAATCCAATCAACAAATACACAAATGAACTGAACATACAGATCTCAAAGAAGTACCAATGGTCAATACATATATGAAGAAAGATGTTCAGCCTCTTTAACCAAGAGGGACATGCAAATCAATGGTCAGAATGACTGTCATCAAGAAAACAAGCAACAAACTCTGGTGGGGATAAAATGGGGATGTCTTAAAAAGTCCCTGTTTAAAGAGCAAAAACACTGTTGGTGGGTATATAAATTAGTCTAGTCACTATGGGGAATCAGTATATGGTCCTCAAAATATTAAAAATGGAACTATCATGTCATCTAACTATACCACTCTTAGGTATAAACCAAAGAAATCAAAGCCACATACAATAGAGACCTTCATACCCATATTTATCATGGAGCTATTCACAATAGTCATATTACATTATAATTTTTTTGTGTGACACTGGGGTTTGAACTGAGGGCCTCCCACTTGCTAGGCAGATGCTCTTACCACTTGAGCCACTCCGCCAGCCCCAATAGTCAAATTATGGAGTCAGCCTAGGTGTCCGTGGATTTTTAAAAAGTGGCTTATACACAGAATGAAGCATTATTCAGCTATAAAGGAGAATGAAATCATGTCATTTGCAGGAAAATGAATGGAACTAGAGACCATCTTGTTAAGCAAAATAAGCCAGACTCAGATAAATAGTACATGTTTCTCTCACAGGCAGAGCATTATGAAAATATTATTATGAAATCCATTATTTTGTACAATCAACATACACTAGTAAACTTTTCTAAAAAGATCAAGCTGACTATGTGCCTGTACGCATTTCCACTGGTGAGCAAGTATATTGCTGGTATTAGCTCATCCAGTTGCTCCAAAGCTTAGAATATTTAGTCATGAATGTTAGCCAGGAATAGCTGTGTGAAGAGGTAGTTGTGCTTGAATAAAAATATACTGTGCAAACATTTCCACACCTGGAACCTTGAAGTTGGTTCTAGAAGTACTTCCATCTCATCCTTGGCCCACTGAATCTCCCCCTCAACTTACTTCCTGGTCCCTTTCCCACCTCCATCCCTTCAACTTACCTCCAAATATCACTTCTTTCTTAATTCTTAGTTATAGTGAAAAGCTCTGGAATAAATTTGTCTTTTACTACCTTAAAATGATTTAGGCATTTGTCAAGAATTGAGGTGTACAGATTTGCAATAAACTGTAAAGAATGACAAGTCTCTATCATTAAATATTCATTTGCTTCAGACATTAAATTTGTCATGCAATTTTGTAGTAATTAAGTCTATCTCTTATCAGAGACAAACTGCCAAATTTTTAGCTCAAAGAAAAATACTATGAAGAAGAATGTAGCTTCAAAGATCAATGGATGTCTACTATCACTCAGTAATACTACTTATAACTCATAATAGTTTAGGCTTGATCATTGCTGACAAAAATTACCTCAGAAGATCATGGGTGAGGTAGATGTTAATCAAAGGAGATACAAAGTTTATGTTAGACAGGAGGGGAACAAGTTCAAGAGATTCATTGTACAACACTATGTATAGCATTAGTAATTTACTGTATTCTTAAAAATTGCTAAGACAATAGATCTTTTTTTGGTGGTACTGGAGTTTGACCTCAAGGCTGTATACATGCTAGGCAGTTGCTCTACCACTTGAGTCAAGTCCCTGATCCTTTTGGTTTCAAATTTTTTTCAAATAGGGTCTTGTGTTTATGTCCAGATCAGCCTGGACTGCAATCCTCCTATATATGCTTCCTCACAGCTTGGATGACAGGAGCACACACCACTCCCAGCCATTTTTACTGGTTGAGACAGGGCCTTGAACTTTTTTTGACTGGACTGGCTTTGACTTTTAATCCTCCCAATTTCCATCTCCCAAAGAACTAGCATTAAAGGCATGAGTAACCATGCCCAGAAAATGAATATATTTTAAGTGTTCTCACTACCAAGATAAGTATGTGAAATTATGTTAATTAGCTTGTTAGCCATTTTACAATGGCTGTATATTTCACATTATGTACCATAAGCATACACAATTTTTATCAACTGAAAATAAATTTTAAAAAGAAAATGATAGAAGAAAAGGCATCAGATATTAGAATAAAACATGCATTTTACAGTAAAGCAAATAAGCAAGAAAATGGATTTTGGGTTTAGACCAACAAACATTTGCTTCCATCCAACTTTACACTGAATCTAATCTGAAAACATTTTTTTTTCTGGTGGTACTGGGGGTTGAACTCAGGGTCTCATTCTTGCTAGGCAGGTGCTCTACCACTTAAGCCATACGCCTAGTCCCTTTTTTGCTTCAGTTATTTTTTTGGGTAGGGTCTTGTGTTTTTTCGCAACTTGCCTCAGATCACAATCCTCCTACTAATGCCTCCCACATAGCTGAGATTACAAGCCTGTACCACCTCACCCGGCTAATCTGGGTCTTTTTGCCTAGGTTGGCCTCAACCCTGATCTTCCTAATCTCTGCCTCCCAAGTAGCTGGTATTATAAGCATGAGCCACCATGCCCAGGATATTAGGAAACAAGAGGGAAAGGAGGGAGGGAGAGAGGAGGAAGGGAGATAAGGAGGGAGGGGAAAGACACACAATTTATCTACTAACCTGGCTGTCACTTCAATGTTTCTAAAACAAAGATGATAAATGTAATATAGCAGGAGAATAAATATTTTTAATTATTAGCTCACAGAGTATGCTATAACTGTTAATTTCATCACAAGTTCTTCAAAGCTTTAAATTTTCTTAAAGGGGTTTAACTTTCAAAGATTCATGAAAAAGCTTTTATTCTTTGCCTTCTTAAATTTCTTTACAGTTTAGCTATCATTATTAGATTAGCAAAGTTCATTTTATGTGATCAGATGAGAATATTAGATCCCTCCAAACAAAACAGAGATTAAAACTAGTCCAAAGTACACACAGAATGTTAGCCCTTCACTTACATTTTTATATAATCATGTGTATATTAAGGCCCAATAGCCACTCACGATAATTAAGCTATCTTCCTATATAAATTATAATTTAATAATTAATAGTTCCTCTTCACTCACAACTTTATAAAATTCAATTATTTTTGCTTACATAATCCATGTTCTCAGTGTGCAGGGCATATGATTTCACTAAGTACTTACTAAGAGTAATCCAAACGTGTTTCTTATGCAACTCCATTTGGAGACTTGGTCTCTCAGATTGGATTGGTTTAGTATGCAATGGATTACTCAATTTGTACTACTAGAATATGGAGGAGATATACTGTCTGAAAGTCCCTAATCACAATCATACTGCCTTATTTTCAATAAAATCCCATAACCTTTATCATCTCCAAAACCAGCAGACGTAAATTACCTTGGTCAAGAGAGGTTCCTTCTGACAGACCACATGGGCATCCTGCAGAGCCTGCTCATAGTTCTTCATGATTAAACAGAACTCTGCCCGCAGCAGCAGTAATGAACTGTCATCAGGGGCTGAAAGGCAGAAGGGACCCAAATAGGTAAAAATGACTACATTTAAAAGCAAATACACTTTAAAAGTCTTTAAATATTAAATTATAAAATAAGCATGAAGATCAAATAACCCTCCAGTCATTATTTAGAGTTTAGTGGTTTGATTAGTATAATTTACAGAGCTTCTTTCAGGAAAACAGACATAAGATTAACATGATTTCAAAAACGCCAGGAAAAAAAGACACATTCTTTCACATACACTAGCTACAACACAACCTCTGATAATCCACTGAGTAACTGCTGAATCATCTTAATGCTACAGGTAGAGCATCTCTATTCCAAACATCCCTAATTTAAAATGCTTTGTAATCTGAAAGCTTTGAGCACTGGTTTAACACTCAAAGAATTTCATATTTTGGAGAATTTCAGATTTTAGATTAGGAATGAAAATATTCCCCCCCAAAAAAAACCAAAGCAAAATTTCAAATCTGAAATACTTCCAGACACAAGCATTTTGGATGGGGATATGCAACCTATACAACTACGTATTTTTAAAGGAGATTAAAAACAATTTTCATGAAAGTACAGAAGGAAATTCATGCTAAGACACTAAGAGAAAAGTAAATTATAATGTGTTTTCCTACATAATTGCATGGATGCTAATTTACTCACATAATTGTACCTACAGTACAGTCTCCTGAGTGGAAAAAGGAAGGGAAAAAAACCTTCTTTCCCTAGATCCCTCAGGAGGAGGAATCAGCAGTACAAGCAACTCTTAGGTTACTATAGACAAAAAGCTCACCTACAGATGTCAAAAGTGACTGTGAAATGATGCATAGTATGTTAACAAGTATTGACATGGCAGGCAACCATGGAAAAGCAATGAAGATGAAGCTCACAAAAGCAGGACCATCACACTGCTGGGCTTGGCTCATTCCACCACCAATACCCATTTAGGATCTTTGTAATAGGCCCACAGCTGTGCATTTTAGCTGATACTCAAATTTTCTCAACACCTAAGGTGTGTTCCCATCTCTTTACTTAATACAGTGGACCCTTGGTATCTGTGGGTCTATGGTTCCTAGGAGACCACCATTGAGGGAAAACTGCCAATACCCACGATGCACAGAGTTCAGAACTGTACTGTACTGAGGATGCCTGACTCATTTTTCCCATAATGCTACCTTACAAATTTCAAATTTTCACTTTATCATGTCAATTAAGTATACACACTACATGACCCTTTGTTCTTGCCTTTGGGTTACCATTTGCTTTTTTGGGAGGCATATTTTCACAAAATTAAGAGCACAGAAACACTCAGCAGATGACATGATGATTTAAATACAACTAATGATAACCTAGGACTGGACTGAGAGCTTCTGCCCATCAACTAAGCTGTGTAGCACACATGCAGGAATTTAGATTTGTTTTTGAAATTTGATTTTTTAAAATTATTTTTTGACCTGCTTGATCAAAAACACATACAATAAATTCTCAAATAAGGAAGGCTTCAGTTTACTTCAAATCCTTGAGCATTACTCTTTCTCAAACTCCCCACTTGGTCCTTTCCAGAGGTTGTATGCCTTTCAGTTTATATAGGTGACTGAGGAAGGGTGCATGAAAGAAGTTATGCATGAAGATGGCAGATCAAGATATGGTGAGCAGCAGGTACTTATGAATGGGTCATCACTGCACATAATGCAGAGAAGGCATGAAAAAAACGTGAAAGGGGAAAGAACAACAGGACTCAATAAAACTTAAATTTTTTCTTTTTTAAAAAAAAAAAAAGACATGGCTTGGTATGGATAACTGGCTGGAGAAGAAGTCAGCAGCCTTTTTTTCTGGAAAAGTCCAGATGCTAAGTATTTTAGCTTTGTAGGCCAAGAGCAAAACTTGAGGATATTATACAGGTACTTGCATTACAAGAGAGAAAACAAATTTCCAAATATTTTTATCGATGAAATTCAAAATATATCTGTAATACATTTTTTTCTGATAATGCAGGTCTACTAGCAAGAAGAATAGAATTCTCTTTTCTGGGGGGGAACAGCATTTTCCTTAATTAAGGTTCAAAGTCAGTGTCCCCTATCCTCAAAATCAAGAGACAATATTCATCTGTTAATTCTGATCTATAATGAGATTTTAAGTAATCATCTTCCAAAATGCACACAGGAACTAGGAAATGCTGGTATCAGCTCATGAGCAGAGGATTTATTATTTATTTAGTTATTTTTGTAGCACTGGGATTTGAACTCGGGACCTCACACTTGCTAAGCAAGCACTGTTCCACTTGAACCAATGCCTCCAGCAACTTTTTGTTTTAGTTATGTTTCAGGTAAACTTTTGCCTGGGGCTGACCTTAGAACAAAATCCCTCTACCTATGCCTCCTGTGTAGCTGGGATTACTGACATGTGCCACCACACCTTGCTAACTTTTTGCTGGACTAGCCTAGAAATGTGATCCTTCTTTTTTTTTTTAATTTTCATTGTTTTATTATTCATATGTGCATACAACACTTGGGTCATTTCTCCCCCCTGCCCCCACCCCCTCCCTTACCACCCACTCCGCCCCCTCCCTCTCCCACTCCCTCAATACCCAGCAGAAACTATTTTGCACTTATCTCTAATTTTGTTGAAGAGAGACTATAACCAATAATAGGAAGGAACAAGGGGTTTTTGCTAGTTGAGATAATGATAGCTACACAGGGCATTGACTCACATTAATTTCCTGTGCATGTGTGTTACCTTCTAGGTTAATTCTTTTTGATCTAACCTTTTCTCTAGTTCCTGGTCCCCTTTTCCTATTGGCCTCAGTTGCTTTTAAAGTATCTGCTTTAGTTTCTCTGCGTTGAGGGTAACAAATGCTAGTTAACTTTTTAGGTGTCTTACCTATCCTCACCCCTCCCTTGCGTGCTAAAGCTTTTATCATGTGCTCAAAGTCCAATCCCCTTGTTGTGTTTGCCCTTGATCTAATGTCCGCATATGAGGGAGAACATATGATTTTTGGTCTTTTGGGCCAGGCTAACCTCACTCAGAATGATGTTCTCCAATTCCATCCATTTACCAGCGAATGATAACATTTCGTTCTTCTTCATGGCTGCATAAAATTCCATTGTGTATAGATACCACATTTTCTTAATCCGTTCGTCAGTGGTGGGGCATATTGGCTGTTTCCATAACTTGGCTATTGTGAATAGTGCCGCAATAAACATGGGTGTACAGGTGCCTCTGGAGTAACCTGTGGAAATGTGATCCTTCTGATCTCTGCTTTTTGCGTTGCTGGAATTACCAGGGTGTACCACCACACCTGGCCAAGCATATGATTTTAAACTGTGCATGTTCACTGCCTGGAAAGCATTATAAAGTTCTATTTGGTTCTTCTCATATCTGCCTTTGTAGCATGTCATTATATACTAAATGTAATTGTAGACTAATCATTTCCAACTGAAAGAGTAGATGAAAGTTCCTCAATTGCATAAATGCATTTTGAAATATATAATTCTCCTCTGGAGACTTTTTGAAATCTGAAAAAAAAAATTTAAAAATCTACTGGAATTTACTCCAGGTTGAGCATGGGAAATGTGCCTGCTACAACCTTATTTGAGTACAGAGTTCTCATATCTGAACCCAATGCACTAAAGTTTCTTATTGGTTCTAAGTATGCCAACTGATTCTCTTGAATTCTCTTAACAGCCTTTTTGATTCATTTATTCTAATATTTAGAGGCCTTATTTCCTTTTTCATCTTCCCCCTTTCCTGCCTTTTTCCCTCTTCCCCTCCCTCTTTGCCTCTTTCTCACTCCCTCTCTCTGTGTGAGAGATGGAACCCAGAGCTCTACAGTTTTCTCTTATTCTTGAATCTTAAAAAATCTAATGTTTTAACATGAAGTATGTTCGCTACAAGTTTCTGAGAGAGAATATTGGTCAAGTTAGATAAGTTCTCTCCTATTCCTAGGTTTTCTCTAAGGGCTTTATAACAAGAGTGTGTTGATTTTACAGAACACCCATTCAAAATCTGAGAGAAAACATATATTATATCTTCTTCAACCTGTTGTAATGACTGACTCTGAAAGATTTGTCTACTACCGAATTATACTTATATCCCTAAAATAAACTGCAGGACTAAAATACCAAGAAATTCAGATAGGATTTTTGCATCTATGTACATATGTAAGACTAGCCTATAAAATTTTCCTCTGTAAGCTTTATCTGATATACCAAGATTATACTACCTTGTTGAGATGGAAATCTTCCCATATTTCTCTAAGATCTGAAGTAAGATGGGAATCAAGCTTTGAAAGTCCACAAGAACTTGTTGGCTTTTTAGCAGAAGAAAATTCCTGTGTAGTATTTCAATTTCTTTAAGGTTATTGGTCCATGTCAGCCTGTTACTTCTTCCTGGATCAATTTTGGCAATTTACATTTCCCTATATAAAATTATCCCTGTGTTAGTTTTAAAATCTGTTACAAACTTTTGTATCTATAATTATGTTCTTCTTCATTCCTGACCTTCATTTCTTACTGATCTTTGTAAGGAACCAGTTTCTGAATTGTTAACCAATTCCATCTTTTCTCCACTAAAATTCTCTCAATTATTACTTTGCTTATACTAGCTTTGTGTTAGTCAAGTCTTGATGAAGTTTCCTGTGTTTACATGCATTTTCTTTGCATTATTTAAAAATCATCCTTTTTAAATAAACACATTGAAGTTTCTCTACTCCTCACATTCCAAAGGCATTTCTCCTAAAATCCAAAGTTCACTGAATTCACTTTTCATGTTAGACACTGAATCAACTGACTTTCTTTGTTGACCTTTCACCATTTGGGGATTCATTCATGAAGCCAACACTTCACAAACACATGAAATAGATGACTGCACATTTCCTCCTATTAAAGAAGTAACCAGGCCTGACTCTGCTTAGCTCCCAAGATGAGATTAGTCACACTCAGAGTGGTTATAGCTGATTATTGCTACACATTTTCTAACCACTAAGCCTTAAGCTTAATAAAACTAAGGGAAGT